CAACGCGTGGGGTTAACCAATCAGGGTTGTTCAAGAATTTTACCAGGACAAACGGCGAAGGAAAACAGAAAACTCGGTCACTGCACCGCGACTCGTCAAGAGACAAAGTCCGCGCGAACGAATAAACAAAGTTTTCCAGCGCACACAAGTGTACAAGTCATTTCGAATCATCCTACCCAAAACACGTTTGCAATAAAAAAAAATGATTTTATCGTGTCAAATTCGCATCGTCTCGAGTGAAAACTGTAAACCGGTAGACAAATTCTGCTATATGCATGTGAAAAGAATTCCTAACGTCATTGTGAAATTATACCGCAGTTACTTAATGCATACTTTGGGTAATATGTATATATATATATACATATAATAGTAGTCGTGCGCCATCAAGAAAATGAGATTCTAGAACTGTTTGTAGTCAATATAGGGTGCATTAGAAGTTTTATTTAGCCACGTTTGCACTCTGTTACGTGTACCACACTGAACAAGTAATCAACCTAAGTGTTGCTATTTTAAAACGGTCATACTGTCAGGATATACATACATACATACGTTCGTGTAGCATCAACTGTATTCCAGATTAAGGTCAATTATTCTCAAAAATCCACTTTTGTTGATGCAACTTGCTCCTACTCGTATTTATTATACAATACTTTACAAAGTAAACGCAGAAATACGATATCCAGTGCAAAATAATGAAACGCGGGCTGCTATATATATGACCACGATGATTTCAATATCGCTAATGTAATTTGTAATTTCAAAGTAATTTCCACCAACGAGATTCCACAATGAACACAGTTGCAATATTTGCAAAAAATATTTTACTCATTGTCCAGTAAACTAGTTGATCTAACGATTAATTAATAAATGGTTCGATTCGTTTGGTTGAATTTCGAAAAAGTTACTACATTCGTTCTAAAAGGTGTTCGAATAATTTCACGAACCACTCTCCGGCAGGTTGTGAGCCACGATAGATTTGGCTGGTTTCGATGCTACTATAACCGTTGAAGAGGGTTCAAATCTGCTAGAATTACAAGCGATAAGCTTATTTCAGGCGGCAACTATATGTATATGTACATGTATGTATGTGTATGTATGTATGTATGTATGTATATATATGTATATATGTAGATAGGTAGAGTTCAGCTGTCAACTGCCAAGAGACTTTGTTGAACCTGGACGGTTTGCTCGAACCGGTGCTGTTCAATATGTAGTCCTACAATGTAAACGGGTACATTCAGGCAAGCCCCGCGACATCCGCCGATTCCCGCAGGCAGAGCCGAGGGCGAAGCCTGGTTATGTCGCAGGCTAGTAACGTCGATTACATTAGAATGAAACCGTTGTTCGGAAACGTCGATTCGTTTACGTTTACACCCGAGGAGAGTAATGTGTATGTATGCACATTAGGAGCAAGCCGAAGAAATGCGTCAACACTCGTCGCTGTACTATCCCCGTCACCGGAGTTCGATCTGAAAATTGTGATCGAGGAGAAGATTGTTAAGATTGTTGATCGATGTGCTAGGTTAAGGCGCGGAGTCCAGGGGTTTGGCGTGCCATATGTTCCCGGTCGGACTACGCTATCAGATTCGATGTAGCGACTTGATTCGATTCGCAAATTAAAGAAGAATGTCCGAATTTCTCGATGTTGCGAACGGTAAACTTTTCACATTTTTTCGATACATCAGGAACATACCCTCGAATTTAGGATACTATGCGCAGTCACGGGGATGCAAGATATTAACAATTTCAATATTATATCGTAAAGTAAAGATTTCAAGCTTTAATTGATAACGAAAGAAGACGAAGAAAAAACGTCATAATTTTGCGATAGCTTTTGTGTTAAGGAGTTACGGTTGTTTAATGGCAACGACAATTTGTCGGTGAAAAATTAGTGTTTCAATTTTTGCTCTCGAGCGTATTTAATAAGAGTTACTTACCACATTTCGTTATACGTATGTATATGTATAGTTTCATAATAAGAAAATAGAATTACGGACGAGTGTTTTGGAAATATTACATACGTATGTGCCAAAGGTATTGCCAGCTGCTGAGAATTCATCGGAAATAGAGAGAGCATTTCGACTCGGCTCGACTCGACTCTCTGAAATTCTCTTAAAACGTTTTTTGTGTAGCGAATCCCGCCAGTAGGTTTTATCTTCCTGCTCTCCACTTTTCCATATTGCGCGGGATATCGTGTCGCGCTTTCGCGTAGAAATCTTGCGGTAGCATCTCTTCGGTGGTCGATTTTGTAGCGTTATATGTATTTTTATCTTCTTGATCGTCTATGCGGATAGCGGTTACACGTATTGCCACACCAAATCGAAACTATTTATTTTTCTATTATTAGTATACGGAAATACGTGTAAGAAAAACGCGGCGTCGGAGGTCGTTCAAAGTTATTTAAAATTAGGGAGAATAATAGAGCAATATCACAATATCGCAATATATGTGTACACGTTGTGTTAGAATTAACTGTAAATCATGACTATCCCGTGCATTCTTTGAACCAAGTTATTCGTTTACATTATGAATTGGTTACGATCAACGTTACGATCTTTTCGCTATTCTTTTTCGAAATTTCGAACGCGTCAAATTAGTATGCGTCGTTAATTAATCCGTGTCCATTGAATCAGAGAGTTTCATAAGTATCACAGAACTTTCCAGATTACTTTACAGCCTGGTATACAATTTTATTCTCGAGAATAAAAGGCCCGTAACGTCGGCAGATTGATGAAAGACAGATTTCCTTTGTTGTTAACTTTGTCTTTGCGTGTTCGATGTATTCGAATTCCAACATTTTTAACACATTAGAAACGGAAATATTGTAACGATATTTTTCATACCGACCGACATAAGCAATCGATAACTCCTCACCGAATGCGAGTATACGTATAAATACGTATAGTACAAGCAGAAAAGTACGGGAACAAAATTGAGAGCTTCGTCATAATTGCACCCCTGTGGAATACGAGGAATCGTACGTACAACGGTATCGCGTTGTTAAAGATTTAAGTGGCCCCTCGAGAGTCATGGCGAACGGGGAGTTACACCGGTTGTTGTTTTCTGAACATTTCTCTACATTTAGTTGCTGAAAGTTACAAAGTTGCAAATTTAGCTGATTCGTAGCGATATACGTACATAGCTTACGGTTCGAAAATTGGCGAGAACTGCTTCCAGATGTTGATGTTAAGGCGAAAATGAAGGAACTTCCTTTGATTTCCTCAAAGCGATCGCGCAACAATACACATGGACGGTTCAGAAGCGAATCCGTGTCGAAATCTAATTTTCTTTGACAATTGGTTACGCGGTGCAAATATGTATGTACATACATCTTTGTCGTGAGATCTTTCGGTCGATAAATCGATATGGTCGAGTTCTTTATAAACAAACAATGGACAAAAGCTATCGTTTTAAAAGTTATTCATCGTAAACTTAATAATACTTAAACCTTGATAATATTTAAAAAGTTGTCCAACAATATGTAACAGTAAACTATATTACCGCATATTATTACATAACATTACCAGAAACAGTCTAATCGAGTATTCTACATTTCCTTTTGCTTGAAAGTAACCAATATATCTTGTTGGAGAGAACGAAACGCATCGTTTACATTACGGGATACACGAAATAGAGAATTTCACACGTTTTTCGAAGAATATGTATTTTCGGAGATGCCCGATTTTGATGTTCGTTAGTTGAACGATTAAGGTGACCACACGATAGATTATGATACGAGATTAACATGGAAGATAGGTAAAAATGAAATCGTCGAAATTTTTCCATGGTGCAACTTGTCAGATACCGAATCCATCCAATTAATCGTTAATCGTAAAACGCTAATCTTAAAGGATCTTGAATGGAATACACGATGATAACGCCTACATATGTACTATCGAATGAAAGCAAAACTTATCATCTTTTAACCGTATTTATCTTACGATTAAGTGGCTAATTCGACCGGTAATAAATTATTGTACTATTATATTACAATGTTCGGTATATTTCAAATAATTTTTTATTTTATTTAGTTTTTATTGGTAAAATAAACATTTTGTTTCTTTTAAATTAGTAGAACGGCATACGTAAATAGATCAGAAAATATTTACAAAGTACAGAAATTTGTTGACGATCTAATCAAATTCTTCAATTCCTTCACATGATCTGCTGGTTTCTTTGTACATACAATATCAAATTACTGGTCATCTCTGCCGGGTGCCGGGTGCCGGGTGCCGGGTGCCGGATGCCGGACGAAACATTCGTCACCTCTGTCGGTATATGTAAGAAACTTTAGACCCTACTCCGCTTGAATTACACAATGCGGGTATAAAAGGGGGCCGATGTCATTAGATTTCGCTGTAGTTAACGTTGTTATAACGTTGGTGCCGGTGGCTAATTAGGCTGCGTACACACGGTAATAAAGGACACATCGAGTTCATCTACGATCGCTGATGCGCATTGCGCACACGCGAATATACGTCGTTTGAAGTATTCGTTAACTAAGATTTTGAGAACTAAAAGTTCTCGTTAAGAACTATATCTTTCTTCGCGTTTTTCTGCCGATACACGGTTATATTGTTCTTTCTGTTGCTGAAATTTTCTTAGCGTTATGTCAAGGTTCGTGGTGAAATTGTAATTGGTCGCGTTGAATTCGTCTCGACACCAGCTAGGCGCTATGGCGCATTATGGCAGGTTTTAGCATCGTATAACATAGTATCCGTAACATGGTACATCATGTCACATCTATAAATCTAAGATCACGCATTTAATTAGCCGGTCGAATCTGTGTGCAAACGCGTGTGCTTTATGCGTTTAGGAAACATGAAGGCAACGATATTATTTTGTCTGATGTCATTGTACGCGGTTGCTGGTTGCCATCAAGGCGGCCAAGAATGGTGGCGGACAATGTCGCTTTATCAGATTTATCCCAGGAGCTTTAAAGACAGCGACGGGGATGGCGTGGGCGATTTGAAAGGTAAGCGTTCCACGTTTTTCCGGGTCATATTTTTGCCGTCTACGACGTTTGGCCTCCTCTCGGTTGCAAAGAAAAGATCTAAGGAACACCGATAGAGTCGTAACAGCTGTGCGTCCAATCACGGACATACATACGTGCAATTCTCGCACGCTAAGCTATGTTCACTTCGAAACCTAAAAGTTCGATTCGAACCAGAAGATTTTATAACCGAGAAAAAAAAATGGAATTAATCGCATTTACCCGTAGCACGCTCGAATTGCTCGCTATTTATTTAACGCTATGACCGTTGAGCATGCACACTTTCACGAAACAACGATAGTTCACTGTGATTAAAAACTATTTAATCACTGATTAATTGCTCCATTAATATTTCGAATTCTTTCAAATCTTAATTCGTTTTGCATGGCCAAATGTTAAGGTGAACAGATCAAGAATATACGAGTCAAATATATCGGATGACAATTATGTGTGTATCTAATCACGTATTTTGAATCATCGACTGAATTATTACAACTAATTAGCACCAGCACTGAAAAATAAAGTGAAATAATTAGGCTTAAATTCTGCAATTACGTGGAAATTACTTAAAATAAAAAAAAGAAGAAAAAAACAAAAGAATTTGTCACTGCTTAAGCGGTCGTTACATTCGGATCGTAAAACGTCTCAGGCGTAATATGTATTGTTTTCTCGAGCACTGGGGCGCACCATTCAGAATTCGAATCGGCTGTAATGCGTAATTACACCGAAAAAGCTAAATATAACTGTTTGTCAAGTTGTATGTTGTAATCACGTTTCCTCTTATTCTCGTCTCGACACATTTTGATTTGTTTACGTGATTTATTATGTAATTTGGTACGATGACACAAACGATGTAGTCGGTGTGGTGTTGCGGATGCAATTAACAGAAGAGCCAAAGCGTGCGACGTTAACCGAGGAAAAAAGTAAAGCGGGAACGCAGGAAACCCAGCAAATATAAATTGACGTCGACGCGCGGCCGCTTGAATGCGACAACGTAAACTCTGATCCACGGCATATTGAAATAATGTGCGACCAAAGCGAGGATTATTGAAATATAGCGTTTTAAATAGAGAATCGTTTAAAGAATGAACAGCAATATATCGGTTTAATATTCGATACGCACAATTTCTATTTATCGTTGACACGAATTAACGTATTAAAAAATTTACCAATATCGTAAAATACTTTGATCGTGTAACAGTTTAGAACGAAAAACAAAAGGCAAAAAACATGGATAAATTCGGTGGAAAATCATAAGAAAAATGAAGAACACGCTGCTTGTAATGATATCTTATCGGAAGACTGATACGCGCGCGCGAATAGTTCGATATTTTATTTTGGAAATATGTACATATTATGTATCTGCGGTGTTTTTCGATATTTTTCCTTTTGCTTTTGGTTTCTGTGCAACAGTTTCAAACATTGTGTCATTTAGTTGGTACGAATGCGCGTCGATCTCCTTCGAACGTTGAACAAAAATATAGAGGAATTTGGACAGGAATTAACGCTCGGAGAATCGGCTTCGCTTATTTTTTTGTCGAACAATTTTGTGCACATCGATAAATGATTTTGTTGTTCTCAGGTATTATAAGCAAGTTAGACCATCTGGTCGAATCGCACGTCGATGCTTTCTGGGTGTCACCTATTTATCCTAGTCCAATGGTCGATTTCGGCTACGATATTTCCGACTACCGCAACATCGATCCCATTTTTGGAACAATGAAGGATTTTGAGGATTTGCTGGATGCCGCTCACAGCAAATCCTTGAAAATGATCATGGACTTTGTGCCTAATCATACATCGGATAAACACGAATGGTTCCAAAAAAGTTTGCAGAATATAAAACCGTACAGCGATTTCTACGTCTGGCACGAAGGCCGAAAACTTGAAAATGGCACCATGGCGCCACCAAATAATTGGGTCAGTTTAAACGAACTTCCTGCAAACGAATCGTTCATTCTTTGCACTGGGAGCGATAGTGATTCTGAATATTATTGGTACATGTATCGTTACCAAAGTTTTTCTTTAAATAAGAAGACACAATTTCGTATGCACAAGATGCACCTAACTGGAAGTAAAACTATTTTTTATTTAAAGTGAAATGATTTCGAGTGCAAAAGGTCAAAACGTTACTCGTTTTTTAGTTTTGCGAGAACTTTGAAATTATTCTTTGCACGCAGGTGAGTATGTTCGGTGGATCCGCGTGGAGGTGGCGACCGGAACGACAGTCGTATTATTTGCATCAATTTGCACCGGAACAACCGGATCTCAACTACAATAACGAAGATTTGATGAACGAAATCCAGGTATGTGCAGTCAGAATATATATAAATAATCGAAAAATTCGCGGGTTAAAGCAGACGATTCTATGGTAAGCAATAGATGGGGAAGAGTAGGAAAAACGGTTGAACGCGGTGATCGGCGGTGGGTACTACGACGGTCCTGTTCGATGTTGTATACAGTTTCTCTAAGCTTCGCGACGTATTTCATTTTCGGATTTAATTTTCGGATTTAATTTTCGCCGAGCCGTTTGGTCGAAAAACTTTTTCGAAAAGTTGTACCGTTTTAAAAAATGTCCGAATATTTTCGTCACAAACCGTACACACATACGTATCTATATGTATACAAATGTATACTGAAAATTCTGCTTCGTTGCGTGAGTTTATTAGTACTTCCAATCAGGCCGCATCATCGGCATAGAGAATTTTCTCGAGAATCGAATTACCTTCGACCTAGCAATGAAACCCTAATTTAACTCGAGGTTCCGCAAACCGAAAATTAAGTGGTGAAGAGATATCATCGCATCGTATCATTTTGGCAAGTAACGCCACCCCTTGGCATCGGGTTATCATCGAAAACAGCAACAACATCGAATCTGATTTTCGACCGGTGCCGATATCCCCGCAAAATTCGCGATATCTCCAACTATTTTATCACGATACTTGAATCAATGCCAACAGATTCCACTGAATATCGAAACAATGAATGCGCATCGATAGAGCAAATTTTTGTCGAGATAATTGTTATCTGACATGTGAAAGGTGTTCGCCAAGTTTTCTGAGAAGCTGTCCTTAAGAATGCGTTCAATTTCGCAATTTTATACGATAAATTACTCGTTGAACGCGATCCGAGTCACGCTATTACATTTTCTTTTCATCTATTCTCGCTCTTGCGAAGATGCTTGCACGGAGATGCTGGATCAATTTCGTGGGATCGTTACCAGGCTGGAAATAAATCCTGTCTTTACATACATACCGTGCATACGTATGTATGTACACATTAGGCCGCATCGGAGCCCTTTTCGTTCCCCTGGCTACTGAAACGATGCTCGCATAGGTGAAGTGTGGAAATCCAACACGGTTGGCCTGTCGCTTTTTCCTCGGGCAAAAGAAGCCTGCAATTTTTTTCTTTTTTTTTGTGAAATATCGCTCATCGGCATGCACCGTATATCTGCGTACATAGATGCGCGCCAATTGCCAGTTTTCCCGATAATATTACCGAAGAACGTGTAATTAACGGTGAACGACAAGAGGAAAAATACTTTGCCCATCCATCGTCGATACACGGTATCTCGCAACGGTATTCGGACACCTTTTAACTTTTTAACTCCTTCGCAACTCTGGACGAGATATCCGACGCGACCCGGTATATACATATATACATACATACATACATACATACATACATACATACA